AGAAATACAATCAGTGAACGAAATGTTTGTTCTTAGAGAAAAGTCAACAAGATTGACAAAAGTTTGGCTTGACAAAGAAAAAAATTAGAGGATATACAAATTAGGTGAATTCAGAAATTAAAACCAAGACCTTACTAAACATCTTCACATGTATCCTTATTATTTTCACCTGTATGTGTACACTCATGAATGTGTCCGTGTGTGCACACGCATCCAGGTGTCTATGTGTATCTATATGTGCATAAGTACAGGTACCCACAAAGGCCAGAGCCTTCGGTTTCCCTGGAGCTGGAATTATAAACAGTTATGTGCTACCTAACATGGGTGCTGGGAACTAAATTCCATCTTCTGGAAAAGCAGTAAACACTCTTGATGGCTAAGCCAATTCTCCAGACTCTTACTAATATCTTACAGAAAAAAAAAAAAGATCATAAAAGTGTACTATGAAGGATTCCACACCATGATTATATACATCACAAATAAGTGGGGTTTACCCAGGGATACCACGTGGTTCACATGCAAATCAGTACCACATTCTACCTAATAGAGTCAAGGAGAAATCATGACCATCTCAGTTGACACAGAAAAAGCATTTGACAAAATTCAACTTTTTCTTGATTTTGAAGAAAACCTAGGTATGGAAGGAAATTTCTTTGAAAAGAGATTTATATGAAAAGCTTTCATTATCATACTTTAGTGGAACAATAAAGCATTCACCTAAAAATCAGAAATAAAACATTAATTTCCCATTTCTAGTGAACACTGTACTGGGAGCTCTAGACAGAGAAGTTAGGCAATAAAAATAAAAAGAAGTCATGTAAACTAACAATAAAAGTAAAGCTATATTTACAGACAGTATATTGAAAATTCCCAACCCCCCCCAAAACACACACACACACACACACACACATCCTTCTACTATGTCAACTGGCAGAGTTATAGGCCATACACTCAACAGGGAAAAACATCAGTAGTATTTTGTTTTTGTTATTGTTCTAGACAGCTGTTCTCTGTGTAACGTCAGCAATAAACAATCTGAAAATGAAATTAAGTGGAAAAGTCATATGTATGCAAAATAACGAAATTTTTTAAAATAAACTTTAACCAAGGACATCTTAAGACAGGAAACAGAACTGAAGGAATTTAAAGATTTTAATAGATTGTTCCGGATTAAGAGATCTAACAATGCTAGCGTGGCTCTTCAAGATTATCTACCGATGCAGTGCAGTAACATTAAAGACCCAAAGGCCTTGTATGAACAAACCAAAAAGTCCATCCTTAGTGTGATGTAGAAATTTAAGTGGCCCCAAAGGGCCAAAACAGTACTTTTTTTTTTTTAAAGAGAAAATAACACTTCCCGATTTCAGAAGGTATCACACTAAACATAGCTCATTTCTGACATGCAGATACACAGATCAACTGAGTAGGATTAACGGTTCAGAAGCAAAAATCCGTTCATCCGTGGCCAGCTGATCTGAAGAGTGTGTCAGGATCATGCAGAGGGAAAAACATTTCTTTTCAAACGTGATGGAGTCGGATGTTGACACAGGAGTGAGTGTGGACTCATCCCTGGCTTCACACAAAAACTAACTCAAAATGGACCAACAATCTAATAATAGGAACCAAAACAATGTAACTCTTGGAAACCAAAGCAAGAGTAAATCTTCCTGATGTTAGATTGGTGATAGACTCTAAGTTTATGACACCTAATGCATAAACAACAAAATAGAAAATAGTCTGCACCAGCTTTTTAAATCTCTGTGTAAGGGGCATTATCATGAGAACATGGTGGGACTGGAGGCACGGTGAGTGTTCACTCACACTTTCCTCTCTTGCAGAGCACCGGGCTCAGTTCCCAGCACCCACATGGCAATTCACAGCAACCTGCAAGTCTAGTTGCAGGGGATTCAATGCCCTCTTAAGATCTTTATAGGATCACACACACATATGATATACATTTATACACGCAAGCATACTACTCAATCAAACATAAAAGGCAGGTCTCCGTCACATGCAGAATCTAGTAAATAATATGTTTTCTTTTCTTAATGGGAAATAACAAGTGTCAGAGAGAATGTAAATAAACAAAAAAATTTATATTGATTGTGAGAATATGGAAAGTAGTTTGGTGATTCTTCAAGAATTCAAATATAAACTTTTCATTAAACCAAGCAATTTCACCCCATCAGCCCCCAAACAGTTGAAACAGGTACTAAGACAAGTATATGTACACATTGTTCATGGCAGTACTATTCACAAAATCCAAAGGACAGAGACAGAGTTCCAGGGGATCTGATATCCTCTTCCAGCCTCTACAGGTGCCTGTACTGACAGTCACATTCCCCAACAGATACACACACACACACACACACACACAGAAACAGGTAACTAAAAATTAAAAATATAAAAGAAACCTATAAAAGATATAACAAATATTGAACATAATGCTATAGTTAAAACTAAAATTTAAGAGTATGACTTAAGATATGGGTGAGTAGGTTTAAAAGCTGAAACTAATTTAAACAAAATATTTTAAAATAATAACCAATACTACTGAATATGTATCATTTGCTAGGCATTATTCCAAGGTTTTCAAATATGTTAAAGTACACAGTCATTTATTAGCCAATTTTATGAAAACTGTCGATGTTTAATCTGTCAAAATATGAAAGTGTTCTTTACATGGCTGTCGTGGTATAACTGAAAGCAATCAAAATTGTATAGCAAAATGTTGGGGAATAATCAAAATGGCCATTATCAAGGAACCAGACACAGAAATACAGTCTATTCGTGGCCATATATTATACAGCAATGAAAAGGACCAATGACACAGGACACAACTTGAAATACTAGAAACACAATCACAAATAAGTGAAGCTAGTTGAAAACTTCAAAACACTGGTGTATCACGCAACATCAACTCCGTAAGATAATAATGATAAACTATACTTTATGGAAGTAGATTCAGGCCTGGAGTGGACACAGCTGGGTTCCACAGTGGGTGGCTTCACAACCAGTCTTAACTGCAGCTCTAGGGGATCCAATGCCTCTCTGGCCTCCACAGGCACCTGAACTCACACATCCACATTCAACAATCTAGATCTTAATATCAGTCGTAGATTCATGAGTGTCTGCTTTTTTTATTGTGCTATATTACTTTAAAATATATGCATTTATTGAGAAATCTATTTTATATTTAGCCACATGGCTTTAAAACAATTATTTTTACAATAAATGATATTGCAAAAGACTGCACATGGACACTACTGCCCTAGGTGTGAGGAGCACATGTGCCCAGACTTGCATGGGTTTCACGACCTTTTATTTCACACTGAAGTAAAACTCTTAACTTTCAAATGCAAGTCACATTTTGATCTATCTCTCCAAATAAGTTCCATAAACTACACAGTGACTCGTTTTTGTTTTTTGAAAAAAAAAACTGAAAACAATAACACTATCCTTTCTTGGAACAATGAAAATAATCTTAACCTATAAAACTACAGACAGGCACTCAATCTCCTCCAGACTAAGCCCGAGACTGAAAGGCGTCTGTTTAAGCTTGGCCCGTTTAGGTTCCAAGAGCCCCTTCTCCGATGTGCACTTTATTTGCTTTTCCTCACCGCTCAGATCATTTTAATGACTAACATTAAAGTACATCCAGGTTGCAACTGCGTTTTTGGAACTATCTTATCCCAATTTATGACCTGTAGATTCAACAGAACATACGTTTTTATTGATAGAAGTTAGGTTCCCTAGTAAAATAGCCAAGAAATAAATTGGAATTTTAATTTTCCACATCCATGCGAATGACAAAAACTACTCAAATTTTTTCTCTCAAAAGTCAAATATATGCTCTTTGGGGTTGGAGAAATGGCTCAGCGGTTAAGACCTCTGGTTGCTCTGGCACACTGTGAACAGACACACATCCAGGCAGAGCACTCACACACAGAAAATAAAAATATTTAAATGCTCTTTAAAGCAAATTATAACAGCTATCACGGTTACTCGTGTTTCTTAGTCCTCCTGCAACTTTCTGATCACTCATTTATCTTGGCTATCTAAGTCATGTGGTAGTCCACAGGATCAACTCTTTTTTTGCAAGTAAATTTATTCCCTGACAATATCACACTTGAATGCTTCCATTTGGATACAATCAAAGTACTGAAAACTCAACAACCTGAGATGAATTTACACTTCGAATAGTAGCAAGGGGCGGTAGTTAAGAAAAGACCCCTTCCAGATGAATGCTGTCCGAGCTCATACTGGTGAAAGGAACACGTGCCATTAGGTCGAATGCAACTGCCTTTGCAGACGTGAGCTGTCAGCGCTACTCATCGAAGTGTAAATTCATCTCAGAAGACCTGGCAGGCAGAAACACTCTCCCCACCGACTTCGCAGCCTCAGTACTTTTGTACAATCAGATCTCTAAGGAAAACAGTATCGACGTGAATGACAGGAACCCCCGATGCTGCTGCGGGAGCCGGAGAGCAGTCGGTTAGATGCGCTTCGCCAAGGCCGTCCATTCCGCAGGCACAGAGAGCTTCAGGAAACATCTCCCTTGTAGCCATGCAGACTTGGACAAAACAGATGACAAATCAGGGTAAAGCACGTACTACAGAAACATTAGACCTCACAGAAGCCCCGGGCATAAGCGGTGATACCGCGACGTGGAGATGTCCCGGGGCTTCGGGAATACCCGCGATCCCTTTAAGCTTCACCGCAGGCCGGAAGTGACCGCACGGCGACACGATTCGAGCTCCTCGGCGCAGCGCGGCTAAGAGCAGCGCGCACGTCCGCGGTTCCGTGGGTTTCCTGTTCTTGCCGTAGTTCTCCGCCGCCAGTCTTCTCCACGTTGGCATTTCGGTCACTAAGTCCCAGAGAAAAGCCTCCCCGCGCTCCAGCCTAAGCCAGGCCTGGTTCCGGGTTCGACCTGCGCTCCCGGCCCGCTCTAGTGACGCACTTCCGGCGGCGACCGTGGTTGCCCCACGAGCATTGCGTTCCGCGGCGTGTTGGAGGCGGAAAACACGTCGGACGCTGTGCAGGGGGATCAGCTTGCTCCTGCACGGGTGAGGGACAGCTCCACCACGGCTCGGTTTCTGGGGCTCCTTACTCACCGAAGTAGATCCTGGGCGGAAATGGGTATACTCCACCGGGCCACAGGACCCGGTGCCTAACGCCGCGGCCGCCTGCGTTCCAGGGCCCTCGTGTCTTTGCACAGCCCAGTGCCTCTGTCGCTTGGCGCAGGAACCTTCATAAGTTGAAAGGATTTGCCAGAGGAATCCCAACCACCGTTTCAACGCCCGTCTAAGAAAGGGCCATCTGGTGTCACCCACCCTCTCGGACTGAATAGCTCAGGTCTTCCTCGGGTTTCCTCCCGGAATTCCTTAGTTTCACAGATTCTGTTTCGTATTCTTCTCACAGGTCGTGCCTTTTGGATCGAAAAGTTCAGGCAGAAAACCTTCAGTTTCAATTCTTCTTTGTATCTCACGATGTTGTATGCCTATGACTGTACCTCATAATCTGGTGTCTGGTTAAGTAATGCTTCTCTGTAGAGAATTTTTACTTCTCGCCCCTCCACAGGGTTGTTTGGTTGTTGGGATCATATCTTTGGTTTGCTGACGTCCTCTCTTGGGTGAGTAGGTATTAATTCTGCTCATCTCTCAAAAAAATCATGCAACAGACAAAATGAATGATTTCCAGAAAAACTTGGTCCACCCTTCTTAATAATGAAACTTGGGGCCTTTCTATATGTTTTCCATTTTGGAAAGCAAGGAAAACTAATAGTCAAAACTAATGAAAAGAAATCTACCTCAGCATCGTGGGTCTGTGCATTGTGTCCATCCTTTGCATAATAAAAGGCATTCTTAGAAATTTCTGTAAACCCTAATGTGCTGTATAGTTTATACCAACTTGAAACAAGCTAAAGCCATCGATTGGTGGATAAAGTTGCCGAAAGCCAATAGCTGGGCAGAAGAGACATAGGCAGGGTTTAGGGTTCCCAAGCTTGGGGTCAGGGGAGAACCACAAGGAGAAGAAGGTGGAGGAGGAAGGAGAAACCACCATGGGTTAGGTGAGTCATGAAAACATGGCCTCGAGGGCTGGCCAATTGGAGTTAAGAGCAGCCCAGACGAAACATGGTAAATAATAACTCGGGATTATTGGTAGGAAAGTAGATTCTAATAGCATAGAGGGTACTATCTGCCCAGCTCTTAGGCTGTTTAAGGCTTACTGTAAATAATAAAAGTTGTGTGTCTTTTATCCGGGAACTAAAGAAATGATCAAGGCAGGGTAGAAATCCTGGATTGGGATTAAAATTTTCTACAACATACTGGAGTTTCAAACCTTCCTTGCACAGTGCCTTTGAGAAGCAGCATATGAAGCTGTAAAGGTGAAACCCAAGCTACAGTGGAGACCTCAGGAAGTCTGAGATACCAAGAATGGAGACTGTAGGGAAGCCACAGGTGTTAAACATAACCAGCCTGGTAGAAAGGCCACATGGACCACAACCACTAAGACTATAGGAATGGAGCTGTCCAAGCCCACTGAAGCCAACATCATGATGTAATGTGGCCAAAATGCTGACCATGGTGTTACAGGACTCAGTGTTCAGCTGGTGTGGCCTTAGCCCCACTCCCCCACTGTCAGCCTGTCAGCCTCCTTTCTGTCCGTTTGGAAGGGACAGGCTTATTCTGTTCCACTTTATCCTGAGAGTCTGTAACTCAGCCTTGGGTTTTACAAGGGCTTGAGCATCAAAGGGGACTTAGAAAATGAATTTTGAATAGTGCTGTAACTGTTACAATTATGGGAACCCTTGGAGATGGGCTACTAGTACATAAATATGTTTTGTATTATGAGATGTATGAACAGTACCTACCAGATGCTTACTTGTAGAAATGTGTTGCCAGGCTGTGTATTGTCCTAGATTGATCTCTCTTACATGCTCTCCTGTTCTCTTCCCCAGTGCCATGACATAGAAATACAATGTGGCCAAGCAACCATGGACTGAAATCTCTGCAGATACATAATTAATCTTCCTTGTAACTTGTTTTGTCAGATATCTTGTTACACTGGTAAAAGTTGGGTGAACACAGGGTCACACTTCCTTGTGTTGGTTCCTCTCCACAGCTACACTATGGAGTGACACCAATCCTGCAGCCTCCGAACCACATACACCCTTTATCAAGTCCAGTCAATTGGTTGCATTGATTACAGCTATTTTTTTTTTAATCCCAAAATAGTAAATTAGATTTTCCCAAACACTTTTGGAAATCTTCATTTGGACTCTGATGGGGATATTGTTAAGATTCAAATTGCTTCTTCACTTTGATACTGCAATAGTATCGTCACCTGCATGATGTCATATCATCTGTTGCTTATCACTGTCTCACTTGACCCTGTTGCTCAGTACCAACTCTTTGTTCAGAGATACAAATATTGTCACATAAATACATAAAAAAAGAATTTTCAACTGTTTGCGAATGAGAAAAGGTAATGATATTTTCCATCTTCAAAATCTTATTGAAAATAAAAATATTCACTTAAAGTTATGAAAAATGCATTCACTGACCTTTAAAATTTGGCAAGCCCCAAAAGACAAGACAATTAAAGAAGTCAAGCAAAAACTCGAAGAAAATATATGAAGCCTGACTAACAGGCACACTCAAGATAAACTGCACCTGCATGGGTTACTGATGGCTTGATTATTTCTGAGTTCTGAGGAAAATGTAACAAGAAGTGACTTGTGTAAGATCATCCATGGCAAGTAAGAACCCAGCCAGCTCATTGCTTATTCGGTAACTGACAATTGTACAGAGAAAGAAAATAAGCAGAGAAAACAGGAGAAGGGGCACTAATTGGAAAGGAACCCATGGTTACTTAGTTAATGTCCTTAGAATTCATCTCAAGACAGGACGTGGAAATCTTCAGAAGCAGTGAGTTAACATGTGGTCACACCAGGTAAAGCGAGCCCTAAATCTGATTCTGTTTAAATCTTTACTAGAAAAGGAGATAACACAGATAGAATCATAAGGGAAGAAAACCTTATAATAGGAGAGGAAACTGAGTGATAGAGCTTCAAGCCTTGGAGCCAAATACTCTCAGTAGGTGCCAGAAATATCATTGATGAGCATCATGGGACCTGTGCCCTACTTATCCCCTGAACCAGCCTCCAGAATAGTGAAATATTGTATTTCTCTTTTATTTGCATGAATTTTGACCTTGTTGCTGCCATCCTAGGAAACTAGTACGTTGTTCAAAAACTGAAATATTTAAATGAGTATTTGATTTTAGAAAGTCAAATGATGCCATAAAGAATGTCGAATAATTGTAATGGTATCAACCACAATTTCTAAGTCAGATACTAAATCAGTGTTTATATTTGCCAGAATCATCAGGCAATGTGACAAGTCATATATCCAAATATAAATTTTACTAAAAATACTTAGTTGCTGTCTAAAGAAGCCTGAGAATGCTAACACTGGAATTCAAGCAATCATACATATTAAGTTCCTTCAACCTTTATGAGAATAGCTCAATAACAAAAGAACCCAGTAAAATAAAAGACAACAACATTAAAAAGTCACATGACAACTGTAGTAAGGATTGAGAATGGCAGGAGCCTTAGAAAAGGGGTGAGTTGCAGTTACCGAGCATTACTCTAGGAGTCAAGGGTACTTACATGAGAGAGTTGACAGGCTTGAGCACGTGAGCACAGACCATGGCAGTCTCTGGACAGCATGATCCCTCTGCTTCAGCTTCCCGTGTACGTTTCTTCGTATTTGCTTTGTGGAATTTGTACGCTTCGTTAGAATTAGTTCTGTGTGAGGAATTACAGCTAAACTATTAATACTTTTTTTATTTGTTTTGTAGTTAAACTAAACTACAATTAGATGAAGTGGCCTGAATACAGACCAGAAATGAAATACACAATGCATATAACTTAGGCACATAGAAGCCACATTTTGCTTTCAAATTAATCACTCTTTATATGCAATTCTGTACTCATTTAATACAAGTACACAATTCAAGCATTCTCTTCTTTGAAATATGATCACTTAATGCTCAAAATGAACATTGTTTGCATCCAAAACACAGCTGAGGAAATTTGATTACCAGATATTGAGGAACTGATCTATTGCTGAATTAAGTTTTAAGTCGGTTTTTATCATCCTTAGTTGTATAATCTCGTTTCTTTAAATATTTCTTTTCAAAATGCCATTTTAAATAGTATAATGTGGATCACTGTTGAATATTAAAATATATATACTCACAGGAAATTACTATAAAATTGTATTAGTGTTGCCAGAACTCAATAAATTACTTCTAAAGAGCTGATGGACCACCCAGATCGTGGTCCAGTACTGTTCTCCAATAAAAATACCCAAGACCCCTCCTAGAGACAGACTGTCAGCATGGAGCCAAAAACACACAAGCTAAGCCCAGAACTTAAAGGAAGAGAGGCATGGCAGCGCATGGGAGGGATCTCAAGGGTCAGAGTACTATTCTTAGACAGCTACAGGTTGATTGACTGGACAAGTATGGTGCTGGGTCATAGGTCACAGAAGAAAATAAACATCAGCAGGTCCAAACCTGCACCAATAAATGACCAATAAGTAAATGAAAACGGAAAAGTGACATCTGTCTTAAAGAATTTTAAACCATTTATACAGTTTCTCCATTATGAAGGGATCAGAGTTCATGAGTATGCATGGGGTATAGTCACTTGCTTACAAATGTATACAAAGGTGGTCCAGAATCTAACCACACTGAGGAAATCTGGCCAACATCATCAGTGGTGGTAAGGCATGCTGATTACTCATCCCTTCCATAAAATATGATGACCACAGCTTTTCATCTAAACAAATAGATCATCTCTCTACAAACCTACAGCCTTAATTCAACTATAAATTATCAGACAAACCAAAATTGTGGAAAATTACACAAAATAGAGAACATTGTGATGCATGAGAGGCAAGAAACAGGAATTCCCATGGTTGCCTATCTTACATCTAGAGATCCCAAACAAAGGTAGGTTGTTCCCTTAGTTAAGAATATACAGAAGTCAGGGCTCCTAGCAAAAATTCTTGAACAAAAGACCCAAAGATGAGCAAACTTTGCCGACAAGACTTGAAATTGACAGAGGGATGCCTGAGATTAGCTGATACTAACACACATGTGGGAAAAAAACTAGGAATACCTGAGATAGCTGATATTAACACATGTGGGAACGAAGCTAGGAATGCCTGAGATCAGCCACATGCTAACCCACCTGGAGAAGAAAAGATGGAAGCAAAAAACAGCCCTGGCTCTCAGTGCATCAGAGATAATGGTTTTCTTCAGAGAATCCACAGAAGGCTATTACCTCAGAAGGGCCACATTTATCCTGGAGTCAAGGCTGTGCTGCCCCCCCCCCACCAGAAAGTTCTAAGGCTTAAAAAATCAAACTGCACCGGGCAGTGGTGGCACACGTCTTTAATCCCAGCACTTGGGAGGCAGAGGCAGGCGGATTTCTGAGTTCAAGGCCAGCCTGGTCTACAGAGTGAGTTCCAGGACAGCCAGAGCTACACAAAGAAACCCTGTCTCAAAAAAACAAACAAACAAAAAAACAAGAAGATAAAAGGATAGAATTTAGCAAAGGACTTAGATAGAGAAGAAACTACAAAATCAACTAATATGCCTGGGCCTAGGGTTATTCTATGGCAAAGTTGAAGTGGTGGTTTCCGGATACGTCATCTGATACAGACATGATATTTTGCTGAAGCAAGACCTGTGGAAGAACACGTGATGTTTGGAGAGAGCATAAATAGGACTCAAAAGACAGTGATGGCACTCTTGCATAGCTAGCCTTGCAATGCTTAGTTGGTTTCATGCTTTTGCTGATCT